AGGGCCTTGTTCCAGAGCTAGAACGGGAATTGGGCATAGGCCACATCTCAGCCTTGAGATCTTGCGCTAAGTGCACAACTGCACCCACAGGCCCTGTTCTATGGTCTACACCAAAGGAAGGGCTTATGTCAAAGGAGTTAAATTTATTCCCACTGGGGATAGAAGCCAATTTCCTCTGAAATCTTGGCTCTCCAGGCTTCCCTCGCTCCACCCTCAACAAACATGCAGGATATGAAATTGCTGAGGCATTACTATTCCTTACTTCCCTTTGTAATCTTAGTTTCCTTATTTTAAGAAAATATTTTGCCTTGATGATCATTTCTCAATACCTCCTCAGCCCAGGAGCCTCAGAAGCCCCTACCAGGCCAGCTCTCCATCTACAGCAGCTCCCCACCAGGAGGATAAAGCTCTTCCTCATCAGGAGGATGAAAGTCTCTGTGGCTACTATCTCCCTCTTCCTCCTCATCATCATCACCTGCACCCTGGAGTCCAAGACTGAATTATCCTCACGTGAGTGCAACACCTTATTTTCCTTCCAACCTAGCCCCTGTGGAGAAAGAAGCAGGAGTAAGCCTGCTGGGGATACAAGAAGGAGGGGCTAGAAGGAGGTCTGGGGTCTTCTGAAACTGGTTTTGTTCTCTCCCTCTTAGAAAGTCCCCCTTACCTCCAAGACCATGAAGTGAGGACTGACTCTCCACTCCCTCAGTTCATCTCTCTCTGCTATTAAGAGCAGCCCACCCTACTTGGGGGATATTATCCCCAGGGAGAGAGAGGAGCAATTTGGGGGGACCCTCAAAACCATTTGTCTGCTTGCCTCCCAAAATTAGGGCCATCAGCTTCCAGAGTCAACCCCACCCCATAAGTACAGCCTTGCTTAGGTGTGGGCTGAGGGGAACCACAACAATGGGTATCCCACCTCAGCTACCTTATTTCTTAGGATGAGCTGCCTTTACACACAACCAAAACTATGCCTCACCCTTCAATTTTACCTCATCTCCTTTCCAGAAATGGGGGGGGGGGGAGACAGAGAAGGTTATTGAAATAAAGCTGGTCTAACCTTAATGGGAATCTTTGACTTACCTGAGAGGGTGTTTGGAGCTCAGAGGAATAGGGTAGGGGTGGTCTCAGTGGACCACTTACTCCATTCTTTGGAGAGTGGGGATGCTACTTAGAATGGTACTAGGTAAAAGACCAGGCCTTTCCCTTCCCACCCAAGCATGGCAACCATGGAGGCCACTGCCAGGACACTCCTGGTTCTGTCCAGGTTGGCCATAAACCTTGCACACCTCCATCACTCCACTCCATGACCGTGGTGCCTGCTTGTTTCTCCAGAGCCCTCAGTTGGAAACACCCTTCCTACTACCTCCATAAGTCAAGCTTGACTGAATATGTGATTTCCACTGTTATTACCCTCTTGCACCTCCTATAAGAACCATGAAATTTCAGAATCAGAAAATAACTGGAAAGTTCAGTGATGTTTGATATTTTTTAGACCATGGAATCCTTCTTCAAGTGAAATCTCACTCAGAAACTTAATGTCTAAAACAGCTAGACAGACCAAAAGGGATATATCCCTAAAACTCTACTCCCAAATGCATCAGTACCTCTGAAATAGACCCCAATCCCCCACCATTACCACCAAGGTTCCTAGGAAACTCAGCATAAAAACAACCAATCCAGCCCAGCAGCCTCATTGACAGATGAGCACACTAACAGGGGAATAAAATTTCCATGGGCACAAAACTAGCAAAGGCGAGGGGAGGTTGGGATCTGGTGTCCAGACTCCTGGTCCTTGAGCCTTGGTGTCCACTTCCTTCCTTCTTTGCAGGACAGGGGTTCAATGGGGACACAGGCAGAACAGGCGGGTTGGGAGTGGCTCGGTCTGCACTCCCAACTGGCATATGTCCCTGTCCACCCCCCCCCCGGGATTTCTTCCAAATATTCCTCCTCGGTGGAACATCTGTGCAAGCCTGTCCCACAGGGGTGGTGTCTATTCATTGAGAAGGTTTGGGTTTCACTAATCTTCAATCCAGAATTGAAGATCATCAGCCAGTCTTTCTGGGAGAAGTTGAAGAACAGTTGCTGATGCAGGAGGAGGGGAAGAGGTGCCAAATAACTGAGTCTCTGCACAATCCTATCTCAGGATTGAGGCCACCTCTTCTTCCATCCTACTTCCACCTCTGCAGTGCAGAAACAGCCAGCAGGTATGACCTTTAACAAAGAGTCCAGTCTCAGCTTCCTCCCTTTCTCTTTAGGAGGACCTTACCATCCAGCTGAGTGCTGCTTCAAGTACATTACCCGAGCAATCCCACGTCACCGGATCACAGATTATTTTGAGACCAGCAGCCAGTGCTCGAGGGCTGGAATTATGTAGGTGGCACCCACATACCATACTGGGGGACAAGGAGCCCACAAGGCCTTGGAGGGGTGGTAGGGAGGACCCAGAATGGGGACTCCCCAGAGCACCTCTCAGGTGCAGCAACAGGTGGCAGAGGGGCATCCTGGGGGCGTTCTGGCCTGGCTGAGCCTGTCAGGAGCCAGGAGGAAGCTGACCCCATGAATGGAGAATTATCAGTGGAGGGGAAGAGAAATCAGGAGGGCACTTCCAGGGGTGGGGGCGGGGGCATAGAGACTAGGTGGGTTCAGGGAACCTGGGGGGCTGGAGAGCATTTGTAAGAGAGGAGACTGGTCTTGAGCTGCCTCTAGCAAAGGAAGGAGAAATAGCCTGGGTGGATGAGGAACTGGCTTGGGAGGGCTGACGGGTCTCTCTTCCTGGCTGCTGGATGCCTCAGTTGGTAACCCTTCTCCCTTTTGTCCCACAGCTTCATCACCAAAAATGGCCATTCCATATGTGCCAACCCCAGTGATGACTGGGTCCAGGACTACATCAAGGACTTGAGGAGAAATGAGTGACCCAGATGTAGTGGAGGAGGGCGCAGCCAGCCATCTTAAAGGGAAGAGACCACAGCTCCCCTCTTAGCTGCAGCCCTCAGCCCCAGTCGCCTCTTGGGAGCTGCCTTGCCTTGAATTAAAGACCTTGAATTTCATGCCCTCCTGCCTTTGCTTATTTCTACAGAATCTAATCATTGGAGCCCAGCCAGGGTGGCACCCTTGGCATCAGCCTTCGCTCCACAGAAGTGTGCAGCTGCAGGTGCAAAGAGCAGATCAGGCCTGTGATGGGAGTGGTGGGAACCTGTGGCCACATTTACACTATCATCATCATGATAGCAGGTACCATTGTCAGCGCTTTCTACTTTCCAAGCAGTCTGCTAAGTAGTCTGCTAAGCAGCCTATGTGCATTATCTTATATGAGCTACACAAGTGTAAAGCTAAGAGTTATCACCTGATTTTGCAGGTTAATTTTCATAAAGCCTTCATAGCAGCCAAACTTCAAAGTCCTTTGTTCTGTGCTGCTCCCAAGGCCCTTGTTTCCAGCCATCTGGGATTAAGAATGGTTTGTGGACATATTTTATCCAACCTTTCCCTATGCTTATATACATCTGGTTGTACTATATTGTTATCCTCATTTTTGTATCCTCCACAAGGCCTAACAAAAAACCTGGCCTCTACCGGGCAATCAGGAAATGGATGGATGGATGGATGGATGGATGGATGGATGGATGGAATTAGGCAGGAATCAAGAGGAGGCTATGCTCCATGAATAACACCTAGCTGCCCCCAAAGGCTCCCAAACCCATCTTCAGGATTCAAGGAGGAGCTCTGCGTCCTCAGAATAAGAACATCCCCAGTGTAGGCACTGTGGCTATCCTTCCCAAGACCAGGGCCAAGAGGAGGCTTGTATGCTAAACTTATAACCAGGCTTCTTCAGACCTCCTTGCCTCCATAAACAGCAGCCAAGGGGGTACCCCATATACATACCCTTCCTACCCTCATAAAAAGCCATAGCTTCACCACCACTAACTGCCTTGAACCCAGCAGGACTAAATGCATTATATAACTTTTCTCTATTTATAAGCAGCCATGCCAAACAGCAAGCCCCATCAGGATCTCCACCTGCCCCCGTCTCCCTCTACTCTCATTTACTGAAACACTTCCCTATGTGCCTCTAAAGTTCACAGTCCATCGATGGCAAAACTCCCTGTATCTTCCATCTATTCTCTGAGCTTTGCCTTCAACGGGGTCCTCAGGCAGTCTGGAGAGAGAAGATACTGAGGGACAGGTCAGCCCTAGTCAAGGCTGGGCACAGAAGCCGGAACTCTGGGACACAGAAGCAAGTTGTCAGGTGCATGAGGGTGGAGCACCCTCTGCTGGACATAATTGGCACAGTGGCAGTTTGGATAAACCCATATACAGGTACACAGGAGGAATGGCCAAATAGACCTAAAACTGGTTTGGAGTCCAAGGTCCAAACAGATTTTAAAAAAAACAAAACAAAACAAAAAAGCCAAAAACCTCAGCAATAAATGAGGACCCAAGGATCGGCACATTGTTTTTCTCGTTGTATTAGTAACATAATCTGTGAGAGGAAAAATGTGAGCTCAGTCATGTCCTTAGACTGGGGGTGGGGGGGGGCACCCTTTTCAGAGGCCTAAACCCTACCCCTTGCCCCAGACTGTGCACTCTCTAATCCTGCCTTATGTTCACCCTCCCAAAGACCGATCACCTTGGGGAACTGGGAGACAGGTTCCACCCACCCTCCTCCTCCCCCAAGATAGAGATGTAGCAGGTAAGATGGTGAAATCATATGGATCCAGTTTTCAGAACTGCCTGCCTCCTACCTGTGTGACATGTCTTTAACCTCTCTGAGCCTCAGTAGCCTCATTTATAAAACAGTAATAATCTCTGCCTCACTACTGCGAGGATTAAGTAAAATAGGGCATATACAAGGTAGTCAACACAGCACACACACACACCGCATGTTCCCTTTCTCTACTCTCCTTCTCCTGAACTTAAATACTTATTAATCAGCTGTACCAGGCCCCGCCCTCCCTTTCAGCAAACACTGAGGGAGGCACCTCCTCTCTCCCCCACTGGCTCTGAAATGCTCAGAGTCCAGAGAGCCGTGAAGTCAGAGTGGATGACCAGCCTTCCCTGGAAGCTGAAGTGCCCCCCTGAGAGGATGAGGTTCTCCGTGACTGCCTTCTTGCTCCTCATCTTCATCCTCATCCTCACCACTCCTGCTTTGCACGGCCAGTCAAGTGAGTCCACCTGTCCCTGTAGGGCAGGAATGAGAAAGGGGTACAGAGCAGCTAGCAGCGAGGTGATGCCAAGAGCCCTGTCAAGTCTCAGTCATCAGCCACAGGGCCTCTCCCCTCCCGCAGCACACCTGCTGTCCTCAAACTCTCCCCTTTGCAAGCAGAGCTGGGCTGGGGTCCAGATCCCTTCTGGGATCATCAGGCAGTTCCAGGAAGCTGGGTCAAGGGCACGTTAGGAGTCTCAAGGATGAAGAACAGGAATAGTCACTGGTTCGGAGGAGCCAAGAAAGTAACAGAAGAGACAATAATAAACGTGAGCAATTAAAGGAGAGCAAGACAGGTGGAGGAGAAGAGCTGCAGTTGCTCTGGGAGAGCAAGATAAACGACATTGGGGAGGCAGCTAGACCCAGGAGTGGGGACTCTGAACATAGACACCCCTTCCTTGTAGTGTCTGGCACAGATCGTTGGAACTATCATGGCAGCCAAAAGAAGGCCCAATGGGATGCCCAGGTGTGCAGTGTGAGGATTTCATGGGCTCTATCCCCATTCCTCAGCCTGGATCTAAGCAAAGTCTATAGAAAAGAGGGAAGGGATTGAAAGATTTTGGAGACACAGGACGCCTGGGACCTGTGGAGAACGAGATTTTGCCCATTCCCTATCTTTGCCTCGACCACCATTTATGAAAAGGACCACATACCCGTCTCCAAGTGCTCTAGCCCTTCTTTCCTCTCTAAGGCTACCCCAGGCAAGTGGTCTGGCAAGACTCTGCTTGTATAAAGTCTCAGGGGAGCAAGGGTCGCACCCAAAACATAATCTGGCCACACGCTCTCAAGATGCCCCTGAACTTTGTAAACTTGGCTGACTACCAAGGTCATGGGTATCACTGTGTACAGAGCTGCATCTGGTGGGTGGCAGGAGGTAACAATGCCCTTAGGGAAGGTCAAACATACCACTGCAATGGGCTCAGTCTTCAAAAAAGACAAAATGGCCCACCCAAAGCGTGCATCATCCAAATGGTACTCTTAAGATATTCCAATCTTGGCCACCAGTTGGAAGCAAGGGGTCAGACTGCAAAGGGATTTGCACTCTGCAATTTTGGAGACTGGGGGAGGTCTCTGCCTGCCCTCTTGTGTGATATCCCCAACTCCCCAACTGATAAGTAATCAGGGGAGCTCAAGGAAAACACAGTGCTAAGAACCAATTGAGGCCAGCATTCTGTCAGCATCAAAGAGGGAGGGAATGTGGCATTTCCAGGCAAGAAGAATGATCATTACTACCATCTGCTCTTAATTACAACAAGCACCGACTGAGCCGTTCTATGTGCCAGGCTCTGTATTAAGGGCTTTACCAGCATTTTCTCAACTAACCCTCACTATGATCCTAGGACATAAGCATCTTTTTATTCCCATTTCATAGATGAGGAGACCTAGAGAAATTTTTAAAATTTGCCCATGATTCAAATCATTTAGTCAAGATTCCTATCCAAGATGTCTGACCTGAATCCTAAATTAAAACACTTTTCTTTCTGTCTAACTTCTCTGGCTCATTGTTCACTCACCCACCTCCCTGACCTCAGCCCCTCTAATGCCTCTAGGATAGAGTCCACACTTCCCCCTCACAACTCAGAAGGTATGCTTGTCCTCCCCACCCTCTCCAATTTCATCTCCTTTTTTTAAAAGATTATTTATTGAGGGATCCCTGGGTGGCGCAGCGGTTTGGCGCCTGCCTTTGGCCCAGGGCGCAATCCTGGAGACCCGGGATCAAATCCCACGTCAGGCTCCCGGTGCATGGAGCCTGCTTCTCCCTCTGCCTGTGTCTCTGCCTCTCTCTCTCTCTCTCTCTCTCTGTGTGACTATCATAAATAAATAAATTTTAAGAAAAAGATTATTTATTGATTTGATAGAGCACAAACCTGGGGGGGGGAAGAGGGAAGAGAAGCAGACTCCCCACTGAACAGGGAACCCAACGAGGTGGGGTACAATCCTAGGACCCTGGAATCACAGCCTGGGCTGAAGGCAGACACTTAACTGACTGAGCCATCCAGATACCCTAATTTCATCTTTTCTTACCTCCTTCTTACATTGCATTCCAGCCATCTGCAACCACTCAGCACTTCCCACACACACACAGCTTCCCCCGCCTTCAGGCCTTCATACCTTTCTTTCTTCTAGACCCTACAACCCCTTTGTCTCAATCCTGCTCAGCCTTCAAGAATCAAGTAATGCACAGTGTACTAGAGGACTTCTTCCCCAGCCACCCAGGCTGGGTTAGCTGTCCCTAATTCTGTTTCCGAAGCACATTGTGCCAAATTCTATTCTATCCCAGGCCACATTCTACTGTCATATTTATCTTTTCACTTTCCCTTTTCACCCTGACTAGACTGGGGGATACTCAAGAGTAGGAACTATGTCTTCCTCAGTTTTTGCTCCTTTAGAGCTTGGCACGTAACAGGGGCCCAATACATGTTTACCAAACCAAACCCTGGTTCGCCAGAAAATGTAAAAAACCGAGTCATTTGCATTTGATGAAACTCATTTCAGAGGCTGGAGATTCTACATGTACATCCTCCCCCATTTTTCTCACTTTTTCCATTACCCATCAGTCCCTGCTAACAGATGGCTTTGCCATCAGAGGCGTGGAATGCAATAAATGGGAGATAAAGGTAGGCAATTATGGGCTCCCTCTATGTCTACTTGACTCAGTTTTCAATGTGATTCCCTCAGAAATTCCTGAATCAGTTAACAACTCTCCCACCTGCTGCCTGAGGCATCATGAGAAAGTTTTCCCAAAGAAACTGGTGGCGGGATACAGAAAGGCCCTCAACTGCTACCTGCCAGCAATCATGTAAGCATTCCCTGCAGATGCTTCTGTGGAGGGGGAAGGGGAACCTAGAGCGGGAATGAGGTGCATAGAACTAAGAGTCTCCATGACAGAAGAGGGGGAGTCATGATCAAGGACTTGGGCTTTGAATCTCATAGGGCAAGCCTGGGTTTAATTCTTGATTCTGCCACTTAGAGTTGTGTGGCCCAATAAATGGCAGCGATAATGAAACCCACGCCTGAGTGTCTTGGCTGAGCGGGAAACAGGCTAAAACAGGGATAATGAGGTCTAGAACCCAGACAGGGAGGCCTTCTGAGGGAATTCAGGTCAGAGAGGCCCAGGGAGGCAGTAATGAGCTGAGCCCCATGCAAGCTAGGAATGGGGGAGTGCAGACTGGACGCCTACCCCACTCCATGACCGCTGACAGTCTAACTCTGCCTCCACAGCTTTGTCACCAAAAAGAACCGAGACATCTGCTCCAACCCCCAAGACAAATGGGTCCAAGAGTACATCAAGGATCCCAAAATACCTTTGCTGCCTCCCAGAAACATGGCCAGGGTTAAAAGCATTAGGCCATAGGAAGGCCACACCACAGCTCTCCATGACCATCAGGCCTTGGTGGGAGTCCACATTCGGGAAAGAAAGGTGCAGCTCAAACGAACTAAGGGTGGTGGAAGGGGAGGTGGGCGGGGGGTGGGGGTGATTGGGTGACGGGCACTGAGGTGGGCACTTGACGGGATGAGCACTGGGTGTTATTCTATATGTTGGCAAATTGAACACCAATAAAAAAATAAATTTATAAAAAATAAAATAAAAAAATTTTTAAAAAGAAAAATTCTTTAATTTAAAAGAAAAAAAGAAAGAGAAAGAAAGAAAGAAAGAAAGAAGAAGAAAGAAAGAAAGAAAGAAAGAAAGAAAGAAAGAAAGAAAGAAAGAAAGAAAAAGGTGCAGCCCTGTGAAAATGCAGGTGGCCGTGTGGTCAGAATGAGAGTGGCAATCAGAGAAGCTAGCCAGTGATTCAAAAAGTAATTAAAAGCATTTCAAACATGTTCTGTCTCTGCAGGAAATGCCACAGTTAAGGGAGACGGGGATAAATACATTCTTAATACACAGAAAAACATATTTCACATCCTTCTCACTCTGCTTTCAGCCTCACTTCTCACCCACACATCAGCCATCCTAGATAATTATGTTCGGCTTCCAACCAGCCAGAACATCTCTGGTCTCTGACTCATTAAAATCCCCACAGAACTCTTGACTTTTCCTGTCCATCCTTATCCCTTTACTAGATCTCTTCTTCTTTTAAAACATAGGGTTTACTTTTCTTTTTTCTTTTTTTTTAAGCAGGCCAAAGTGGGCATATTCACATGCTAATAGTTTTTGTCCTTGTTGTAGAGGTTTTGCTAGATCCCCCCATATGTGGTCTTCCCCCAGCAGTGCTGGCACAAAAGAGAAGTAGGGACCTCTGTTCCCACGCTGAGCTACTGACATGTCTTACACAGCATAATGTCTCTAGACTTTTTTTTTAAGATTTTATTTATTTATTCATGAGAGACACAGAGAGAGAGAGGCAGAGACACAGGCAGAGGGAGAAGCAGGTTCCATGCAGGGAGCCTGATGTGGGACTGGATCCTGGGACTCTGGGATCACGCCCTGAGCTGAAAGTGGTGCTAAACCACTGAGCCACCGGGGCTGCCCCAGAGACTACTCATGTTGCAGCATACACACTTCAGGCTTCATTCCCTTGAGGCTGAATAACATTTCATCCTGTATATATGCCACATTTTGTTTACCCATTCATGCTTTGGTGGACTTCTCAGTATCCATACCCCTTTCCCTTACAGTAGCCAGAGTTAGTGGAACTTGGTTTCTGTTACTTGTGCTAAAAGCACTTTAACTTGGTCAGTGGCCCATTAACCACCAGCCAGGGTCTCAGAGGCAGGTAAGGATCTGAGGCTCTGGCCCACATGCTTCCTGCCCGTTGTCCCTCCCCAGGGGGCCAGTGCTGCCTACTTGAGAACTTCCTGGACTGGGAGTTCCTGCTCCTTGATCCAGGAGTTCCTCTCCACCATTCTTGCTATCAGAGCAGAGGCGTTACAGATAAATATGATCAAACTTCTCCCTCTAGTAGCTCACACCCTAGGGATGATAGAATCACTAACAAATACAATGTAGTCAGACCTGGACCTTTGCTTGCAGAAGCCAGAATGGACATGGAGGGGTGGCAGGGCTTAGATTGACACAGGAGTCAAAACAAGTTCAGCATGTACACCCAGAGCAATAGGAAGTTTCAAAGTCCTGAGCCAGCACCAGGGTCAAAATCAGGGGACCAGAGTTCAAAAGCCTAGAGGACAGGATGGGGCTGAAAACAAGGAAGCACAAGCCAGGGCCAGGATCCTAACAGGCTAGAAAGGAAATATTGTTGTTATTTCTCACTCATTCTCTCTCTCTCTCTCTCTCTCTCTCTCTCTATTTTGGTCCATCAGAGTTCAGAGGTAAGAGGTCAGTCTGAAAACCTAAATGAAAGTCTATATACAATGTCAATTCCCATCCTAGCACATAACATAAAGCTTACCAGAAACTCCTAATGGTTCAGAACTGGAAGTACTAAAAAAAAAAAAAAAAGAACTGGAAGTACTTTCCTCAGGTGCAACAATTGTTTTTAAAGAGGACTATTTCTAGACTTTTCAAGGTAGATAGATGCCTAGCTTTAAACACACACACACACACACACACACACACACACGACCCCCTCCTTGGGGACACACAGGGATCTGCCAGTCCTGATCATCCTAAAGCAAAGACCTCACCCATGTAAACCTACACCCAGCCAGCTCACATGACTATGTCCTTGTGGGACATAGGTGATTGACTTGGGGAGGGTGGAAAATAAGCCCTAGAATAGTGGGTTGCTTTCACTGCTATGTCAGAGAAAGGCCTTTGCCTCAGGACAGGTGAAAACCACACACAGCAACATGGGGGAACCAGTGGGTAGGACAGTAGGACAGAAAGGCAAGAACATGAGGAAGCAAACCTGAGTAGTACAAAGGGAATTTTACACACAGGTATGAGGTCTGACTGCATGCCCCGTCTCTGTGCAGTCATTTACTACACCAGTAGGTTTGGACCAGATGATTGAAGGTCCTAAGGTAAGAAATGGTATTTGGCCTCCAGAGTGGCTTTCAAAGATAGGTCAGATGAACACACCTTTCCTCCCAAGAGAGCACATAGGTCAGTGCATGTTTGTGAACAACCAGCAGAGAGTCGTCAGCAGCCTGAACTAGTATTAGCAAGACAGGGTTGATGCAATGATTTAAAAGCATTGGCTCCAAACTCAGAAAGGCAAAATCTAGGTTCAAATTCCAATTCTGCCATTTACTGTGAGACTTTGGTTAACTACTAAATCCTTCCAAGCCTCAGTTTCAATCTTTATAAAATCGGTCAAATAATAGGACCTACCTTCAGATGTGGAGAGGATCAGGAAAATGCTTAGCACATAGCCCAGGCTCAATAGATAAGCCTTATTATTTCAGCATCTGACTTTTCTTTAAAACTATAGAATGGGGATGCCTGGGTGACTCAGTGGTTGAGCCTCTGCCTTCAGCTCACATCGTGATCCCGGGGTCCTGGGATCGAGGCCCAGATCGGGCTCCCCACAGGGAGCCTGCTTCTCCCCCTATGTTTCTGCCTCTTTCTGTGTGCCTCTCATAAATAAATAAAATCTTTAAAAAAGAGAGAAAAAAAAAACATAGATCATAGGAGAGAAAGGAGCTTTCTCTCATTGTGAGAGAAGGGGACCACAGTTCAGAGAAGGAGCAGTGACTGGCCCAAGGCCAACTGCGAGTCATTGGCAGATCTGGCATTAGCACTGGGGCCATATTTTAAAACAGAAGAAACTTCTGGATTGTGTGAGAATGGGGAAAACTGGATCCATCCCACAAAGAGAGCAATAGCTCAAAGCCTGAGAAACTCCTTTCCCATGACCTGGGCTCCTGAGAGCCTGGTCTCCATGCAGCTATCTTTTTTTTTTTTTTAAGATTTTATTTATTTATTCATGAGAGACACAAAGAGAGAGAGAGAGAGAGTCAGACACAGGCAGAGGGAGAAGCAGGCTCCATGCAGGGAGCCCGACGCGGGACCAGATCCTGGGTCTCCAGGATCACACCCTGGGCTGAAGGTGGCGCTAAACCGCAGAGCCACTCGGGCTGCCCCCATGCAGCTATCCTTTGATGCTGGCCAAGATGATTTTGAGGAAGCAATGGGCAGATGCAAGGAGGAACACTGAATCTCTCTAGAGCCTCGTGATTACCAGCGATGGCCTTTTCTTCTTTGAGCCAAGTTTCCTCATCTGCAAAATGGAGCTGACCCCTTACAGGGCTATTGTGACAATCCCCAACCACAGGGTCTGGAACAAGTAGTAGAATAAAATGGAAAATGTGGTTATTCTCTTAGAAGCTAGAGCAAGAATCCCTTTCATGGAGGAAACAACCTCTGTTAAGAAAATATGTCAGTAGCCCCAGTTAAGGCAGGAAAGTCACCCAGGACAGGACTACAGACTGGGGCAAAGACTTCAGGAGAAGGTGTGAGCCAGGAGGAGGAACTGTTCTGCCTTTGAGAGTCACAGAGGAGTGGGGAGAGTGGTCAGGGGAAGAGCTGGAGCCAGTGCAGTGAACAGTGGGACCTTCCTCCTCCCTGGAACCCTAAAGAGTCCCATCAATTATGCAGCCCCCAAATACTTGATGTGAGTGGTTTGGGACATAACTCCCCATTGAAATTAGCATAGATGGGAGATGGGGCCAGTGGCCCCAGAACAAGGAATTAGAGATTGAGAAATGTGAAGTAAGTCTTTGGAAGGTCACAGAAGACTTGCAGAAACTTTGGATTCCCCTAGACAGTAGAACTGGGGGAGGGAAAAGACTCCCAAGCAGTTCTCAAGATCCAGGGATATGCCCAGGGTGGCTACTTCAGTCTAGGTGGTGAGGAAAGACCTCACCCAAGGTGAAGTGTACCCCAACAGCTCAATGACAGCTGCATGAGGAATAAAACTTTCCGGGCACAGGGCACAGCTGGTACAAAGTGCTGGGCAGGAACTAGCTTGTGTACAAGAGCAGTGTGGCTGGAGCATATGGCCAGGAGAGCAGGGTGAGGAGCCAGAAGGTAAGAGGAGGTCAGGGTACTTTGTAAGCCAGAGTAAGGAGTGTGAGATTTATGTCAGGGGAGGTGGGAAGCCATTAGGGATTGTTTTAAGCAGCCAAATAGCATCATCTGATCCACTTGTTTAAAGGAATCCATGTCTGCACTAGCTGCTGTGCAGACATGGATTCCTGGAGATGAGGGAGGGAGAAGGGAGACGAGGTAGTGGTGGAGGTAGAAGAGAAGATTAGGGAACTACTTGGGGGACAGAATTGAAAAGAAATACTGAGAAAGATTTGGGCTTGAGTAACCAGGTGGATGCTGGCACAAGTTCTAGAAAGGGGGAAATCTAGGGGGAAAGTAAGTTAGGGAGTGGAATCAGGATAGGGACAGAACACTTTTGAGATGCTTGTTAGGTATCCATGTGGCCATAATGGTCAGGGAGTTGGCTGTGTGGCTCTGGCATGCCAGAGAATGGTCAAGCTGGAGATGTAAAGCCACGGGATCAAGTGGGGCAGGCAGGAGGGTGATGAGCAATGG